ATTGAAAATGCTAGCTTAGGATAATTTACGTAATTTAAAAATTCTATGAAACTTGTGAGTCTACAGAAACTGGCGGCGTCATGCAACGTATCAACAAATCGTGACCTCTTTGGACTTTAGCACTATGCATATCTGACTGTAAAACCTCGGTTGCTGCTGAAAAATGTTGATTTTAGCAATAGACAAAGGTTGAAAGTCAGCTAGTGAAATCACTTATTTAAGGTATATATATTAAAGTGAGGGCGTCGAACGCACTCTCATAAGCTCTGATTACTACTAGCAATTAAGTAACTTTAGGAAAATGTACAATGTATAAGATATTAAGCAATTGATCCAAACTTGTTCTTTTTCTAAGTAGCAAGTCCTTTCGCTGGCAATAGGGGTAGGTAAGTTAAATTATAGGAGGAAAACATTTCCTCGGACATTGCGAAGTGCTCTAATGGATATCTAAAATAACAAATGCCATTCTACTACAACCTGTAAATATTTTCATAATTTTATTACCGGAAATGTACGGAGGTGTGAAGATTGTCGTTACCTGTGTTGTTATTGTTCCAACAAGTCCAATGACCTTGCATGGTGTCAGTTGATTGGCATTGTTACCAACTCCTAACTGACCATTGCCGTTATAACCCCAGGCAAACAGCTGAAATTAACAGAGAACCTTGAACTTGGAGTGGTGGCTTTGAGTCACCAATGCTGAATCACACAGGCTTTGTTCAGTGCAGGGGTTTCATTTAATTCAATGTTTTCAGCAGGAGGACAACTAATTTTCACAGGCGGGTAAAATATTTGAATTGAACTTCTTTAAAAGAATTACTTTCCGCTAGATGGTTAACCAGGCGGGTAAAATTGTTCTCGAAGCCGGTTAATTTGCCTGGTACTCAGCTTTTAATGAAACCCCTGTCAGTGAGCAAAACAAGTTGAATTTTAAAACCTAACTCAAACTGCTGTCACAAATTTTCAAAATGATGACAGCACTACAAATATACATGCTTCAGCTGTAAACACTCTCATCAGTTAGAATATGAATTAAGAGCAAAAAATATATTATTACAAATTATTAAATTATGCTTATGAAGTGGACATGCTTTGGAAAGTGTTTCCTTGCTAGTTACAAAATTGATCAGTAAATAAATATTAAAAAAACGTTTTCTTGTTTGACCCCTTTTTACTCTTACCTCTCCTGCATCTGAGAGAGCCATGGAAGATGTCTGACCACAGGCAATCATGCTTATCTTTTTAGTACCTAAAATAAGAGTATCAAACATGAACATGATAATATTTTGGGTCAAATCTGAGATGCCTCCTGAGTATAGAAAAACGTTTGAGACTCTAGGACAAAGATGAACTTCTCTTTTCTCATGACAGCTGCCTACCAATTCAATTTGGTGACTTTCTGAAACCCTTGCATGTTGTATCATTTAATACAGTCAAAAGTAAAGGTAACGTCTGCATACCAGCCAAGTGGCCCATCAGGCCGGAGTTTATCCCAGTTTCTGTATAATAAAGCGACTAGAAGTATTTATACTCCTCCCTGGCTGGGATGCTAACTAGTCCATCATTTAATTTGCTGGTATCCATTGACACACAAGGGTGGAGAGAGGCACTGTGAGAGTTAAGTGTTTCACCCAAGAACACAACACAATGTCCCCAGCCTAAGCTTGAACCTGGACCGCTTGATCCGGAGACAAGCCCACTAACCACTGCCCCTCCTACTAATACAGTCAAAGCTAGGATATTATCATCACAAATGTGTGATTAGTTGGGAAGAACAAGAGGGTGAGATACCCACCTATTATAGCTGAATTTATCTTCCTGGGCACGGTCTGATTGTTGGTATTTCCAAGACCAATCTGTCCACAGTTATTGTATCCCCAGGCAAAAACCTGCAACAAAATAAAAATCTGAGTTCTCAGTGGAATTCAAATGAATAATTGCTTCATGTTAAACAGAATATTTAGCAAGAAATAGCTCTTTCAAATTTTCCCTACCTCACCGTCGTCAGTGAGAGCTAGAGAGTGATGGCTTCCACAAGCAACTTGGATAACTTTTTTCATTTGTAATCCAGAAGTCACAAGTGAAGGGATCAAGCCTTGGTTTGTATTTCCATTTCCAAGCTGACTGTATCCATTATGGCCCCATGTGTATATTTCTCCCGAGGCTAAAAGATATCAATTCTATTATAAATTATACCACTTATGTCATCAAAAAGGTAAATTTAAGTACTGCGAGAGGGTACCAGATTATTCACTGGTGCAGAGGTTAGCTCCCACTGGTTTCTGTAGCATTAAACATTTTATTGTATAAGTACAGTTGAATCTCACTACATGAATCCCTGAGGGGAATTGAAAAATAGTTCAAAATAGCCAGAGTTTGAAATAACTAGGCTGATTTGAATTAGCGGGTCCAACTGTACTGCAGTATGTCTGAATAGGATTTTATCATAAACACTAGCCATATAACCTTTGGGTGAAGAGAGGTTTTGAGACAGCAAAGAATCTTGCTTAATCCTCAAAGCACTGAAAATCTTTTTTCGGAGCCCATTACAATAAACATAAGTGATATGCTGGAAATACCAGACATTCATAATTTATTTCCATTTGTAAAATATGGGAAAGCTATGAATAACGGTGTTGATTAGAACTGCCCTGATCATCCACACTAATTTTAAGCTAATCCAGGATTGGGACATTCCATTTGTTATCCGTACACCCCCTATAGAAGGCAACCTCTGACACAGGGCCTGTTGGAATATTTTTTCAAAGAAGCCGACAAAATTTTGAACCCCTCAGATGCAAACTTCAAAGGTTCAGACAACAAAAAACTAGGGTGTCTGAATCTGCCCTTCCATGGGGGGGGGGGGGGGGGGGGGGGCTCTCCTATATGGGCTATATAGGTATGTGCGGACCCAAAGGGTAGGGTTTTTCGGCCGTTTTGGTCGTAAAGTAGGGTATTAATTTTGGCCATTNGGGGGGGGGGGGGGGGGGGGGGGGGGGGGGGGGGGGGGGGGGGGGGGTGGATAAAAATGGAATGTCCCATTAGTGAGAATTTGGATTTCAGTGATTTCAGTGAGGTTTTCTGGGATAATTTTTTCTATATACCAGTATTTTTACTTTTTCCTTCTGTTTTGACTTTGACTAATGCTGCAATGTACAAAATATTCACGATGAAAAAAAATGTTTTTGCAAGAGGAATTAAAATCCCATTTATGAGATTACTTTCTTATTCAGCTTATATTATATCAGCTTTCAAGCAACACGAATTTTATTTTTTTGGTTATATAACAAATATTAAAAATAATTGAATAAATAATAAATGGCAAAAACAATTATTGCAACGGACATAAAATTCAATGCTCTGTTTACACTACAAAATATTACTAACTACTCAAATGGCACAATAAATTCATGAGCTGAGATGAACTATCAACTTCACAAAGGCTTATAAAATTTGCATTCTCAATTCTCTGCTACCTGAGACTGCAAGTACATGCGGGCCACTACCACAAGCCATGGACACCACATTTTTCTTACACAACGCCTCCACTTTTCTTGGATGAAGACAACTCTGAGCATCACCGACTCCTAAACAGCTACTGCCGTTTGATCCTAAAGCGTAAACATCATCGTCTCTTGTGACAACCAGGGCTTCGTTTCCTGCACTGCCAAAAACACACGCTATCCTGAAAGATGCCAAAAACTCTTCATCGAGAAGACTGAATATGGGCCACCTCTCGAGTTCTTGCATTTCGATGTTTGATCAAAACTAAGATTTCCACATTGCGATTAAAACGACAAGATTTCTCACAGTGGCAAAGGAAGACGACTCACTGCATTTGTACGTGCAGCTTAGAACCCAGGCCTTGTTTTCCTCGGTAGCCAGGCCTTCATCGCGCAAGCGTCTGCGCAGGCGCAAATGATTGCATGACGTCAGTTCTAAATGCATTGTGGGTTATTTAATGGCTCCGGTTTGTCCACTGCTGTAAAGCAAAATGGAGGCTGACATCTTGCCAGTGACTTGAGAATTGCAAGGGGAAATGACACCCTAAAGCTCCAGATTTCGATGTGTGGAAAGAAGGTTGTTTGTTTTAACGAAAATCGTCGAAATTTGTAGAAGCTGTCACAGAAAGAAAAGGTTTTGTGCGGAAGGGAGTTGCTTTCAACAGATTTCGAAAATGAGTATGCGAACTGGGAAGAAAGACACAAAGATGAGGATTCGGGCTTTTCCGGTAAGCATAAACTTGTTCAGCAACCTTAAAAAAAGTTTAATTATGCGTTTAACGTTAATGCAGTCGACTATAGTGTAGAAATTTGTTTTTATTTTCCTCGTATGAAACAATAACTTAAGGTATTCGGGCGTTTATATGTCGAGCAAGTCGTATTTTGGCGCGATTTGCACCCGATTCAAAAAGCTTGATTTATTTACACTGTAAGGTAATATTAAAGTATTGATATTTGGTCGCAAACTGATCACTTACGCCAGATTACAAAAATATTGCTTCGCACGAAGCAGGCCAATTTTATTCAATTTTGCACTTTGTACATTGCGGAAGTTTGGTTGCATTTACAAATTATGCATTTCTATTCTTGGGTTCTCATCATTTTCACACATATTTCGAGGTTTTCATATCTTTATTGACAAATTTCTATTGACCTTTCCCTAATATCGTTGTTGTTCATAATTGTAAATGTGTCCTTGGGGTGCAAAGAGAGTCAGTTTCCAGCTCGCTCTTTGGCCAGGCTGTAACTGGAATGTTTAGCCACTAACTTGAAAAAAATTAACCCACAGGCGTAATTAATTAGTAATACTTTGATCTCTGTAAAGTTCTTCTCTTTTGAATTTTCTGAAAATTTATCCCCAAAAACTTCACTTGGCGATTCTGACCTTCACCTTCCCATCAGACAGGTGAATGATACAAACTACTACTCTAGCAGCAAAATCCACTAGCTCCAGCTATTGGGCATGACTTTCGTTCCATCCTGCATTTTGCAAATTTGCTAGTGCAAACACAAAACGCTTTGGAAGATTTTACTTATTATGGGTCAGGTTGCGTAACTCATATTTTAACCGTTTAACTGGCAGATTTTTCAAGGAAATTCCATCACCCACAGCATATAAAAATGTAAATGTAAAAATATGTAATTTGTTTACCAACAGAGCACCAAGGAGTTCACAAGAACTCGTTCAGAACCCGTGCATTCCAGGATTGTTCTAATCCTTATAAATCATAACTCAAATGGTTCAGTACAAAATTTTCTTTCAAGTGGAGTACTATAAACTGAAGTACAAGGTAATTAATGCCTATCCTTTTCCAAATTGCTTTGAATTTCCACTCTTAGTGTCATCATCATTTCTCAAATTCTGACTTCCTCCTTCTAACATTGCCATGTTGAGCTGAGAGAACTTATTTACTTTCCTTGGAACATTCTTCTACAAAATCAAAGATTTGTTCACAAAATGATGATTCACTGATAAGAAGTAGTCCTGGGTTTACTCTTCAAGACTCAAAGATGTTAAAAAATAACAATATTATTTCTATGCATAAATCCAAGCAAATTGAATCTAAGCAGTAGTTTGAAATTGTTGTGAAAACCAAAACACACCCTATACCTTGTGTAATCTCACTGGAACAGTACAGGGACTTGATGAGGGTACTCTAAAGGGCTTTTCCTCCAAAGAGCTGTTCCCCCCACACAGGTGTCACGTCCAGGGCTCTGCTCTAGAAGCACCCAGGTTCCACAGGCAACTAACTTTTGCGTTTGGGTGACTGGAAAAACTTACTTTTTTCATAGAAAGTTTAAGGTTTAAAATGGACTAGCCCTAAAAACAAGTGATACATTTTATGCTTTCTGAAGGGCATTGTATACCATAAACCCAGAACTTTAAACCTAAAAATATATAAATGTCCTGATGCAGGAAAATTGGTGTGATTGGTCATGGAGCCAACATACCATATATTAGCCATTTGAGAAATGAACAGTGAAAATGACCAACCTAGCCTCCATTATGGTCAGCCCAATGCCATATGTGAGAATTTGTGTGGCTGATGACTAATGCTTATTTCAGGCATGTAAAATGACCTGTTCCTATGGCACATGCCCCTTAAAGCAATGAGAATATTTCAAACTGAAAAGGCATAGAATGAGATTTTTGAGAGAAAATATGTTACTTTGAACATTTATCAACATAAAAAAATTACCTGTGAGAACATGACTCACACAAGAATAGTATGTAAGAATTATAACCATCACTCAGCCCACATAAAAAAACGGCTGCTCTCACTGCTTTTGTAAGTGTCTTTAAGTTCCATCTGACCTCTGTTTGTTCTTGATTAAGATATGTCCTATCAAGCTACAACTATGGCTATTGGTTATGAGAATGGTGATAGCTTTTAACTAGTCTTAAATGGCACCAATTTACTCATGATGGTTTATTTTAGAAATCAAAACCCTATTTTTAGATTTCTACTTTGCATAAAATATTTTATACCATCTTATACCTGTGAATTTAAATTCTAAATTGACCAGAGGTAATTCTGACAATTTTGAATATCAAATACAATAACCTAAAACATATCTGTATTCTACATGTACTTACTAGGAAAGAGTTTGCCTGTTAATGTATGCGCCCAAGATGGCTGCAACACGCTTCCTTGCTCCTGTAATTTTTTCGATTTTTATTTGTTTTTCATTTGATGTTTGTTTGCCTGGCATCAATTTTCGTTTTTTAAAGACACTCCTATCTTATCTTCAAAGTTTTATGGTCTTCCACTGATCGTTACTACTGTGGACAGTAGGAACAAAATTACACGCTCGATTTGTANCCACCTTCCTTCGTTCCTTCCCAGTTTGTATTGTGTTGTAAGTGCTTCCGGTTTCTGCAACAGCAGGCTTTTTATGAGGCAGGGCCATTAGCCTTGTATCATTATTCAAAGTGCCTGGTTTCAAATTTCCCATGGAAGTTACTTTAAGATGGAAAATGAACAATTGAGAGTGTTTCACTTACCCATCCTTGTGAATTAGCAGTATCTTTCTTTATCCCATTAAAAGATCTCAGGTAGTTCCTCCTATCAATATGCTATTTACAGATGCTTTTTTCTCTGTTATTTTAAATGGTTTTATGTTTTTATTGCAGTCTTATCGAGGCAAGAAAACTCTCATGGGTTTGTTGGACATCTATGGTTTTGAAATTTTTGAAGCAAACAGGTAAATTCCTCTCTGATGTTCAATTTAAATATAAGGATCAAATTTAACCCTTAAGATCTTTGTTTCTTTTTTTTCCATTCCAACCAGTTTTGAGCAGTTTTGTATCAACTACTGTAATGAGAAGCTTCAGCAGCTATTCATTGAGTTGACGTTAAAGGAGGAACAAGAGGAGTACAGAAAGGAAGGGATCAAGGTATTGTTCTTGGCTCTTAATCCATCTAGATGGGAGACATGGTAGCCTAATGGTAGCACTGGACTGTTGATAAAGCATTCAGGGTTTCGAGAACCATTGAGGGAGAAAATCAGTGCATTGTGTTCTTGGGCAGCATACTCTACTCTCACAGTGACCCTTTCCACCCAGCTCTGTTTTTTGTGTACCAGACAAAAAATAATCCAGAGAAAAATTAAATATCAAACTGTATGCGCCCAAGATGGCTGCAACACGCTTCCTTGCTCCTGTAATTTTTTCAATTTTTATTTGTTTTTCATTTGATGTTTGTTTGCCTGGCATCAATTTTCGTTTTTCTAAAGACACTCCTATCTTATCTTTGAAGTTTTATGGTCTTCCACTGATCGTTACTACTGTGGACAGTAGGAACAAAATTACACGCTCGATTTGTACATGGCACAAACGTGGTCATCTTTCGATTGCCTTGCCTTCGACAATGGACCTGACGATACACATGGATGTCGAATCTAATCCTGGTCCAAGTCCTTCTTTGACTGTAGGAATACATCGTGAACATGATGTCAATCCAGGATACAGGTCTTCGATGTGTTCTACATTAAAGATGACGTAATATTTTATTATTATTATTATTATTATTATTATTATTATTATTATTATTATTATTGCCTGTATTCTGTGGTAACTTGTAAACAAAATGCTTGTCATATCAAAAATTTTAAATCCAGTTGCCCAGTAGGCCAGTACATTTCAGTTTTCAGTTACCCCCACTAAAATATTACTTGCTTGATAGGCACGCAATCTTCATGCCTCATCGACTACATCATTTACTGGAAACTGTCTGTAACCAAGTTTGCTTGGATTTTGAATTAATCCATGCTTTCAACTGATTGTTTTGCTCATGTTGCAGTGTTAAGATTTGAAATTGTTTTTGATTGGAAATTATCACTAACAAGACTATTGAGGCTAATTTCACTTGCCCAGCAGACCACAAAACTCCCATTTTCACTTGCCCCGGGAAGTTGGACCTGGGTTTTTTCCTGCCCTGGTTTGTTCTCCCTGGTCAAGTGGGTGGGTGGTAATCTCCATCCATACTTGAACCCAAATGATTTGGTTTTCCTTGTAAGGCTGTTTTTTTCCTGTCCATCATGTCGTGGTTATTTATTATTTTTTTTTAATTGATAAAAACATATTACAATATTGCAACAAATTACAAAAGTAGTACAGAAAAGAGGGTTGTTACAACTGATAATATTCTAATGAAAAATAGTTGATAATATATATGGTAGTAAATATTACAAAAAATATGTCTCTCTAGCTTTGTAAAAATGTATATAGCTGGGGGAAAGGGCAACATAGTCACGTCAAGTCATTTGTCTATTTCAAGCTGGATAATAA